TAATGTTTCCTGGTGTCCGACTCTCCACAGATGCAGTGGACTCTCTTGTCTCTGTGCACGTCTTGTGGGGAGCTTTGGCAATCACCACTTTTCTGAGTGTTTTCCAGGCTTTCCTAATGTGCGTGATCCTCAAAAGAAACAGATTCAAACACACAGGTACAACGGCCGTTAATGGTTGTCACTGACCATATTGTCTAAACTTAACACAACATTGCAGTCAGAGCATTTCTTTTTCACTCTGTTTCAGAGTCGAGTTCAAGTCGTTCATCTCCTTCCACAACAAATGCAGAGGTGACTTTATTCAGATTTAACTACTGTATTAACATTTAAACATATTCATTGTGCAACATTGTGATTTTTTTACCTTATATTTCATCATTAGGGCGACCAAGATGAAGAAAACGTTCACTACGCAGCTTTGAAGCACGACAGGGTTAAAAGACCAAGAAGTCAGAGAAACAGAGAGACTGAATGTGTGTACTCGGGTATAAGGCAGTAGAGCTGGACATGTTTCTGATCTGTTTCTGTGCAATGCAGCACGCCTGTTACTGTTTCATATGTGGGCTGCAGTATTCAAGCAGAAGGGTTCAATATTAACTTCTACTCATTGTGTTCAATTTGTTGCCCAAATTACCAGCTTTGGCTTTTTTTTAACATAAAAATGTTCTGTCTATGATCTGGAATCAGAATTTTGCACTTTATAGTATTGCAATCTCATGTCAGTTGTTGGCTTGCTTTGATGATATGGATGGTTTGTAAAGGAACAGGTTGAAGGTTGAAGTCATGTTCTCTCTGGATTTAGCCAAAGTGTAATCATTTTGTGATGGATGCATTTTGTGAAGCAGAAATAAATTTGGATGAATAATTAGCAAACTCTTATGACTGTGAGTCTTAATGGATTTACTGTGTTTTATTCACAAAACCAGTAGATGGTATGTCAAGGTGTCACCTAAAGTAAGTCCTAAGAAGTCAAGAGGTTAGCCCCCACCGATGTGGTGGTATCTTTGACAATATGACATAAATATATGTGTGAAGCCATATAATCTTTTCAAGAGTTTAGTGATGTCAGTAATCAGAGACACAGTGGATGTTTTCCTTACACGACTGCATGGACACTGTGCTTTTTGTACAATCTGGAAAAACTTTAGACTTGGCATGAATATATGGGAGCACCTTCTTTGGTCAGATGAGACGAAGATATATTTGTTTCACTGAGATGGGGTCCAGCATATTTGGCATGAACCTGGTCAGGTATAAAACAGTGAATGTATCTGCCTGATAGTGACAAACAGAACGTGATGTTGTGTGGCTGCACAAGTGCACAAGGTGTGGGGGAGATGACATTTATATATTGCACTGTGAATGCCTGTAAATATACCAAAATACTCACTGACTAGATGACTCCCAGTCTGCAGAAGCTTGCAGATATTCCAGCATGATAATGACCAAAACCATCTATCAAGAATATCTATCAAGATATTTGTGCGACACTGGTATCCTCCAGAAAGAGGAGGACTGGGTTTGTCATCACAAATCAATGTAAACATGCATGAATATAACAAAGTCGACAAGAACTTAATGAAAGGTGTACTGGCTTGTGTCACATTGAGTTCTTACTGTGGGGCCTGTATTTTTAATACAATAAATCTAAACAGATAGTTTTCGATTTAAAATACTGGTCTGTTGTCAGCGAGTGATCAAGTAAGGACCCAAGTGCAGAAACTCACACACAGCAGGCAGGTTGTGGGAATAAAAAATGACGAAATGATGAAACGCCTGACACAGGGGGGCCAGTAAAGGGTGATCCAGGTATTATTCTGATTGAAAGTCCAAGGGATAACTAAAAACCAACTGAAAAACAGAATCCAGGCAACTGGAAACCCAAACAGGTACAACAACATAAGCTGGTAGCACACATGACGCACAAGGAGCAAATCAGGCAGCTAACAGGAAGTACATCAGGTAAGCACACAGTGTACAGAAAACACAATGCACAGCTCAGATACAGACAAAGAGTGATCCAGGTAGTAGGCAGGTGATCAACAGGATTTCAAACAGAGTCAACTGACAAGAAAGAAAGGAAGATGCAGGACTACATACAATCATGAGCAAAAGTTTACATACACCTGTAAAGACCATGTTTAACTCCCATAACTCAGTGCATAATACTACCACCGCCATGCTTGATGATAGGTCTGATGTTCCTGGAGT